CTCTGTTGGGTCTGGTATCACGAAAAGGCCAAGAAGACCAGAGGCGGCATCTGGCGCAAGTGACTCTCGCGGTGTGAACCTACGCCTATGCGTAGCACTGTCGCAGGTTGCGTGCTCAAATCACGTCGGGGTCACCAATTGTTGCAGGTTATAGTGTCGACAACAGAAGGATCCCTAAAATCAAGAGTCAGGGAAGACAGTGCTGGTAGACGGAATTTTACTGTCGGAGAATAGACGGTACAACGGCTCTGTTATGGATCGAATGCCAGCTGAGTGTGTACGCCGGGTGTGTTCACGAAGTTGTGTGGGTGCGTGAAGCTTTGGCTGCGGAATGAGTGCTCTGTTGGCTGCCGCCAATCGGATGAGGCGGAAGTATTGATCAGAACTAAGCGTGTGGCGTATAAAGCGGCGAGTGGGCCGAGAGCGTGAGAACTGGAGGACATCACGGGCCTCTCGCAGCGATTGACGAAGTAATTTTGGGGAAGTTTATCGCACGCAAGTAGACAGCGAGCGTGCGAGGCTTGGTGAACGAAGGCAGCGTTAGTCAGCGTAGCAGGCTGCCACAGCACCACACACTTGTGCGTGACATTTTGCATGAGTGCACATTCCAAATAACGTATGCTGTACCCTGCTCTGCCCCACCATGATCGTGTAACCCGTTATAGGGGTACGCCACTTGTACTTAAAGGGCCGAACGACCGCTTTATCGGTTGCTTGTGGCGTTTGCGTGACGCAGATTTGCGAAATGAGGCCCAAGGCAGAGCAGGACAAGTGAGTTTCGTTATTGGTCGGTGAACGTTCATCAACGAGTTTATGAGTGTGTTCCTCAACATCATCTGTTTAGTCTCTGGTAGAACTTCAGTCTTATTTACGAAGACTGCTATTTGAATGAGACTTTGAGCTATCGTCAGTGGAACAGGACGCCTTCGGTTCAGCCCAAAAATTTGCGTTAAACCTAGGGACTGCGTACTGTCAACCTCAGCAAAACACCAATCCCTTAATTATCACACCTGTAAATCGGATCGTCAACGGAATTAAAAATCACAGTTTCATTGAGCCACGGTGGGCACATCTCTTGGTTATAAGCGCGAAGTAAGCTCCGTGGTCCATTAACAATTGGATTCTACCTCCAAGGTGGGTTCGACATATGCCCATAATTATAAAATCTGAAACGCTTACATCTAGTCCGCAGTCGTGGGCCACCAAACGCGTCCAAAGAAAGATGACGCTAGCCTCTGCTTGACATCCTCCCAGGTGGTTACGGCGACGAATGCCTGTAAAAACTGAAGACGTCCAGAGAACCAAGATCACACCGACGGTTGTCTTCCCAACTCGCGAAGTTTAAGATCATGTGCTGCTAGTTTTTGCACTCAAATGCGCTTCCGGGGATCTGAGTTATCATAGCCAGATCAGCAGATTCCTCCTGAGCATAGCACGCAGGAGTGCTTCAGTTTCCGCATTGTCGCACCGAGATTAAACTGCAGAGTCTTCTAAACCTAATCGTCAAAACTTGGGTTGACGGGGATGCAATAACCAGTACCTTCCACCAATGGGGGATCTCCCAGTAGAAATAATCGACCGAAAACCCACTGCTCTGATGAATAAATATACCAAGCAGAAATAAAATATATCCTCCAACTATTCTCCAGAAATGGATATCCAAGGAACTTCGTGCGTCAGTGCATGAAACGGCAGGAATCCAAGCAAAGGTGCATTTCAAATAATGATACCATCCAGGCTTCCAAAACAATGACCTAGCGAACTCTTCCATACGTGAAAAATGTGTCTGAGCTTGTTGAAAGTCAACTACGAAAATATTAAATGCAAGTGGCACACCAACTCACAACCACCTTATGTTCACAGTTTGTACACCCTAAAGGACAAGGTTGGCTATCCTGAAAGATAAGGTGTCGTCTGCAAGATCTCGTGTGCCAGTTTTAATGCACTTTATTGTGGCTAAACTAGGAAATTTGCCTCAACCCGCATACACGGACATAAATTAGCGGTCAGAAGACGATACCACTTATCCCAGGTGGCCATGCACACACTAAAAACCGGTCACAAATTCACGTGGAGAACACACGGGTTGTTTGCACTTGCCCAACTAGAAAAGGCCGTAAATTCCTGGAGGCAATATACTCAGATGACGCATACATCAACAGACATATCGATTTGGACGCGAGCTGTAATTATCTCAAGGTCAAAGTGGAACGCACGCGGCCAACCACGGCAGGATGACAAAACGTATGCAACGCCTATTGGTGCAGACTTCAGCTACTTGTGGTATACTTAGTTAGGCACGGTTAATTAAGGTAATTATTCCCGTACATATCCCATAGCCTGACGACGAGCTGGGGAACCAGCCTCGAAAACTTACGCATTAACGATTCAAGTTTCCTAAAGAGGTCTTTTCCATCTCAGTTAAATATCTTGGGATGCCCGTATTTCAACGTATGCAATTATATATACACATGTTTAAATGCTAAACAAGCTGTCCACGGTTACGGGACACGGTTAAGGAACTGGAAAGGAGTCGCTGAGACCAAAGCCCACATATCCGACCGCTCGCACAGAACAACGAAGCCCCTCACTCGGGGAATGTGTTGTAATATTCAAGTAAGCCAATCCGAAGACAGCACCAGTTGACGAAGTCTACGTGCACAACTACTCGAAGGTCCCCCACCCTAAGTTAGGCTGGATACCGACCGGTTAACACGGTAAAATGGTCGACTTTGGTTAAACATGATCCGGGTCGATGATTGCATTCCTTAGTCCGCTTCTTACTACACAAGAGGCACTAATTATCACATTTTTTTCTGAGTCTTTCACGACAGTAGCCCTTAACGTCACAAAAGTGGCATTCTGCACTACCGTAAAGTCTAAAGTGATATTTTTAGTCGAATAGACCGGTGTGCATGCTGCTGCCCTATTTAATTGCCGGACACTACTTTTTTCATAGATCGTTTTGTGTTCACCGGAATACGTTTGCTTGTTGCTGACGTTTCGGACAGCTGGGCCGGCTGTCCTTTGTCAAAGCGTGTACTGACTTTATGGGTCAAGAAATTAAAGTTGTGGTTGTACGTGTTGTCCATGGGCTGATCGATTATTCTCCATTCGGTGCTTGGCCCACCGTGTGAATTTTGGCATAACTTGACGGCAGTTAGTGTTTGGTTCTGTCCCCCCCTACGGTAGAGGATGCTGGCACTCCTGCACCCTCTTCCGGTGGTTTCGTCAAGGGGCCGTATTTGTTCACAAAGCCCAAGTTCGGTTTGACCTGGTCCTGTCCTTTACTTACGTAGTGACATAGGACTCTGCAGGCCGCGGGAAAGGCCAGATGCCTGTTGGCGGAGTTGGCGTCCGAGTACCATGTACTAAGCGTCAGTCTTTCTTCCTCGGTCTACGATGGTAGCTCCCCGAATATCGAAGTTGCGGCCAGTCTGTCCAATATGTGTTGCAAGCTGCGAGTTTGGGTCAAGTCTCCAGGCCGCCGCTTTGTGTCCATGTAGCCGGGTCTGCAATTTGCGCCCTGTTTCTTGAACGTAGTTATAGTCCCCATCGTTCCAACTTTGAATTGCTTATCGATAAAATCAGTTCACAGTTTGAAAAAGGACATCCGGCTCAGCTGTCCCAAACGTCAGCGGACAAGCAACCACAGTCCGGTGAGCACAAAATGATCTATGATTCTAACCCCGTTATTCCGATTTTTGCAAACCAAAACTGTTTTTTTCTTTTAGATTAACTAACACCGCTTAAAAGTCTGCACATGTAAATAATTTTCCGTGTGCTTACCTGCTGAAGGCCCCAATAGGGCAGTTCAGAATCGTCAATGGGGTTGACTTCAAGGCGGATTTTGAATATCGGCCCGATGCCGCGGAGACTAACCTACAATAAGACAAGTAGGGGGGGAGTGTCAGTAAATAGATCCTGGGAAAAAGTATTGGCGGAAAGGCCGGTGGACGCACACACACATGAACTACCTTGAACTCATCCACATTGCCAGCACGAAAGAGCCCCTTCTCGCTTCCACTTGCACCAAGAATGATTGGGCCGGAACAGCCGTCCACTCCATAGACGACCAACACGACGAGGGAATTGTAAGCCGACTCGGAGGTGTAGAGTTGGACCTTCCAGTCCGACTCTGTGACATGAAATAAATGTTGTTTGAAGTAATACCAGTACCGAATTCAGGAGAAGAAAAAAACCGACGGACAGATATGCATATATACAGTAGATTTTCTATCTCATGAAATATTGAACGAAATCATGAAATAGTTTTCTTTCAATTAGAAAACATTACTTAAGTAGGGTTTAAGTAGTACTTTGCGTCGTGCAGCATAATCTTATGGTATTTCAATCATGTCAGGATGCCGGTTTTTAAATGAGCTACCTACCGACCGCCTGAAAAACTACGTTTCGAAAAAATGACTACTTAAAAGGAATTATTTTCCTCCCCCCACTTATATTCGATGTCCTTGTAAACACAAATATGTTTCATAAAAGGAATGCATAAACGTCTTCTTTCGTGTACTATTTTGGTAGTAGCTTACGTCTCCTTAAAATTCTATATTTTAAGAAAGGACACTATTCGGTTTTACAAAAGTATCGACGTACGAGATTTTTTTTAAAACCGCAAGCGTATATTCCTTACGTCTCCTTTCTATTCGCTTATTACTTTTGGTTATAAAATATACGACATAGTTTACATCCAATGCAATTCGACAGACAAAAAAGACTTTAAAACGGAAAGATACGTTTCCTCAAGTATAGCAGCACTTTGAAGAAGACGTTGTATGCCACGAAAAGAGTACACGACACAGAATGTTTTTGTGCAGGTGTTCAGCAAAATAAACCTGAAATTATAAGCGTCTTGAAAAAATAAAGGAGAAGAATGGATTTGTTATAACCTGGTGTGTTCGTGTGTCAACACCGGTAATGTCCCCCGGTTACGTGTTAAGAAGATAAGGCAGAACAGGATAGCAGATAGTACTTTACTGTCAGTTCTACTAGTACATCAGCCCTGTTTCCTGTGTGTCCAGGAGCTTGTCTTCTCTGTCCGTCAGCAGCTTGTGTTCTGTCGTCGTCTCGGCCAACAGCGTTCCGTG